TAATGTTTTATACAAATGAATTAAAAGAGTGTGCGCATAACAATTCATGTACGTATTTTTTTTGGGAGGGGAGGGGTCCGCGCGGTGCACACTGACTAATAAAGTGTAAATTTGACAGTTTTCATTTATTTGTTATACTTTGCGTTTCTGTTTGTTTGTGTCCACTAAACGTCTTAAACAGCAAAACCGATCGGGCCCAAATTTGATGTGGGACCTCACATGCCCCCAGGGAAGGTTTATGAATACTCAGAACTACAAAAAATTTCTCCAGAATTTTTTTTATTATCGAGTAAAATGTTTAAAATCCCCGATTACCTCGAAAAACTTTTTTCACCTGAATTCCACAAGCTATAAACAGAATCTCGATCTTCTTTTTTATCTTCACCAAGATTATCATCAACTGTTTCTTTTCCATCTGTTTTCCTGTGTTCATTTACAGCTTCTTCCTTTCTTCGGGATTTATCAACTCTAAAATTTTTGTTTTGTAATTGTTAAAGGGGCTGTAAAAGAATATCTCTTAATTTTTTTTCCATTTTTTTCTGTTGAATACAATTCTCAAGTTACTTTTATAGAGTGACATCAATTAGAAATGATCAAGTTTTAGATGTAAAAAAGGTTTAATTTTTTAATGGATTTTCGCTTGAAACTACTTCGATATTCCCCTTAAAAGCAGTTTTTCCTCCCCCCCCCCAAAAAAAAAAAAATTCAATAACGGTTGAATTCCATTAAAACGTTTGTTTTTATCAAATTGTTAAGAAATATTTTTATCAAAAAGTTTTTTTTACCTTGCATAGATACTGCTTGGGTCCCCTACACTGTATTGCAGGGAAGGCACTGAAGGACTACATGATAAAGGAGGGGATGGGGCTTTCTTAGAAGGAGGGGGTGGAGTCAATACACACCCGGGTCTTGGTGGTGACGGGGCTTTGCGCATTTGGGATTGTGTGCTTTCTTGTTTTCCGCACTTAAAAAAGTTAAACTCTTCGTTTTGCGGTTTTTTTGAGGTTTGGTTTGGTAATAGCATGTTTCTTAGTTTTTTAGGGGGCTCAGGGGCCGGTCTACGGATGGGTGACCTAGGTTCTCTCTGCTGGGTCAGCTTGGGTTGCTGTCGACCCCTCAGCTCTGATAGAACTGAACTTGCCAAATCAAAGGATTTGATGTTTTGCTGGCTTTGTAGCACTCTTGGTTTACTGGCAGTGTTGCATCTAAATTATGATGATTATTGAAAACATTTCTTACATTTGTTGAAGAGAAAATTTTAGCTTCAAGGCATTTTTGCATTCTTCTTGAAATATCCAAAAATACCCTTGGATGAACAACAAGTGGTCCTGCTGTTAATGTAAAATTAACTCTTATTGCAAATTAAATTAAAAGTTTTTTTTTAGCCATTTCACTAAAGTACCCGGTTGAAAGCGCAGCCATGTTTATCACATAATCCAATTTATTATTGAGACCTTTGTAAATCTGTACCTGTGATTAAGGCTATACAAGTTTTCTGATATAAAGGAATCAAGGTTTTGTTTTCTCTCCAAACTTACACTCTTCCCAAACCTGAATTGAGATTTCTAGAAGTTTCCAAGTTTTAGTCCAGAGAGAAATAAAAATAGAAGAACTTAAAATTCCATTAAATGTACACTACACGGCACACGCTTAACAGAAAATATCGGGTTTTACAACACTGCCTCGTATTCAGCTTCGGGCTATGGGAAGGTTTATTGGTTTCATTGGAGTGGATTTTTAGATAAGATTATCTGTAAGTTTTTCTTTTCTCTTTTTCTTAATCTGATTAGGTTTTTTTTGTGTTATGGTGTTATTAAAAAAATGACTTTACTGAACAGACAGAAAGAAGTGAGCAAAAATAAAACAGAAAATATTCCTCAAAAATCGTTGAAAGAAAAATATAAATAATTGTTATCGTTTATATACTTGCTGTCTAATATTTTTTTAATCTTTTGAAATAAAAATAATTTTTTGTAAATTGTGAAGAAATCCTATATCTCCTATTGATTTTAATAAATCTTGAGCTGTTGATATTTGTTAGTTCCATGACCATAATTAGTATGATCAAATAAAAAAAAGAGATCTAAGCATTTTTATTGCAAGTATTGATAAAGATTAAAAAAATCATCATTAAATCTGAATAACTATTTTGTAGTGAATTGTGGATGGTTCCCATAAGTACAATGTTCGAATTTAATAAATTTGAGCCGCGTCTTAAATGCGCCAAAGCCGATTTCAACTGAGTGCCGGCTCAAATCTTAAAGTAATTTATACGATTTTAAGTGGAACCAACCATTTTTGAACCGTGGCTTAAATTTAAGCCGCGGCTCAAATTCTTCAAATTCGGCCTCAGGGTTACTAAAAATGACGTGATCAGTCCCTTGAAAAACTGAAATTTACCTGTTCCTAGGCTTAGGCTGTGTGGAGTCTAAAGGAAGACCTTTAATAATATTAACATGAGGGTTGGAAGGTATTGAAGGAGGACATCTCACCTAAAACATATTTAGATTAAATACACATTTTTTCTTCCCTCTCGAGAATCAAATTCGACTTTAAATATTTATAGTTTATATTATTGCGGGTTATTTGTATAGGATTGTTGATGAGACCAAATAACGTAAACATATTATTGAAATAATAATTAGATGTAGAAAAAGTAGAAAATCTACAAGAAAATCATCTTTTGTGGGTAATCCTGTACATGTGATCACATGAAAAATCAAATCCATACCTTGTTGATCAATTCTGATTCCAATTGAGCGATCTCTTGATCAGGACTACACAAAGGATCAAATCCTTTCAGGTCAGAACTTATTGATCCTTCTCCAGTTCTTGATCCTTCTCCAGTATGCACCTCAGTACTGTGGGACCTGGCTCCAGGTGTACTTTGCATAGAACCTGGAATGCAATGTCTACAATTAGATGAAATTCTATCGAAATTCTATCTTTGAAAGAAAATACTGGCTATGAAAATGATAGAATCAAGAATTTTGAATGATTGAAATAACTAAAAAGCCAGGCCATGCTAAATGCTATCATTTGTAATTGCAAAGTCATTCATATTTAAAGAGTTGTATGTCTTAAAATTAAAAGATGGATTTAAAATTTTCAAAAAAACTTTCTGAAAAAAATCAAGTTTTGTGTAAAATTTTTTTCTTTGATCATTATAAGGTCAGTTAAGAATTAGATTTAAATCCAGTTGACTGATCTAATCAAGACCTGAGCTTGCGGCTCTGTGGTTTTGCAGTTTGTTAAACTTTAATTAAACTTAAAGTTACACTTTTGACAAGAATTTCAAAAACTTAGAGACAAGTTGACAACTAATTATAGTGGGAAAAGAGGAGCTAAAGGGGAGGTGGACTGGAGGGGTGGAGGTGGACTGGAGGGTGGGGTTTATCTGCAATTACACATTTTCGGACCAGATAATATTTCACAAGAAAAAAAACTCTTTTTGGCCCCTTTAAAAAAGGGAAACCTCTTCTCCAGGTTAGTTTAGTTTAATATAGATAGATATAGCCACAGGAGGCTCATCTAATAAGAAATTAACTTTTGCTTGTGAGCTTGTGAGCTTCCATGTTTTTATAGAATATTTACCTCCGAAGAATAGATCCAAAGAGATATCAGACGCGTTTAAATCTGGTAAACTTTGATTCAGGACGGATCTTTCCTCGGGGTTCTGATTGACCCCCAGCTGATGGAGATGGACTAGGTCTAGGTTGAGTCTAGGTTGAGACTGCTGTTCTAGATCAAGATGAAGAAAATAGAAACTAGAAACTAGAAGACTGCTGTTCTAGATCAAGATGATTGATTGGACAGAATCCTGTCCGGCCATCTTGGTTTTCAACCCAGCACCAGTTTTCATCAGTCTGTTTAATAATCTGAAGGAAAATAGTTGTGAAAATATTAACTAAATATGTATTATGAACGAAAATTCAAGTNCCGGTACCCTTAAAAACCTAATGTCTGATCAAAAACGTTTGCAGCGATATCCATGTTTTTCTCTCCAAAATGGATTATTTTTATTTGTGGTTATATTGTAATTTGACTTCAAACTACTGCAGATAAAATAGGGAATAGAAAAACGACGTGTTTTTTAAATAATAAAATATGTTAAAAATATTTGTTTTTCACCATTTTTTATAAACTGTACGATGCAAATTGTAAACCGTGCGTGCACTGTAAATTGTCAACTATAAACACTGTACACTTTAAAAACTGTCTAAACCCTACCTGAACCGATTCTCCGGCTTCTAATCTCAGATCTGAGTCAAGTTCAGGAGTAAAACTAATTCAATACAATCTTCAACTACAGGGTTGCTACAACGGATGAGACTTTATTCACTATAGTTTCAATAGAATTAACTATTTCCATTTACTGATAGCGTAGATTTAAGGATTCATAACTCTGATTGGATAATGAGATAGATAGAAGGATAGATGTTACCGCCATAATAGTTCGAATAGACAACAAACACATGACTGAACTCTGATTGGATCAGGCGCTAATGGACTCTGCATACAGGAGTGTACTATCGACCTTTAAATATCACGTGATCGGAAAGTTTCTGCTTTCAAGGGATTGTAAGCGGAATTTCAAATGACCCTTCATGAAAAGATGACAGTGTCCAATTCACAACGGTACTCCTACAAACTTTGGCGGATAGAATATGAATTAGAGATATCAATGTTTATAATTCTAAAATTATTTCTCTACAAAATTGACTTAAGCATTTCAACCGCATAAAGCAATAATCAGAATTAAAAACTTTTAAGCCCATAAAAACGACAATATCTTCCACATTATTTTTCAGATAAAGGTTTCTTAAGAGTATCGTTTTGAAATTACGCTTCCTGGCCCTTTTAATATAGGTATACCCTTTATCCACACAAGATTAGACTTTCCTAAGGTTCTTTGATCTTTTCACTGTACCCTTGGTTCTTTCTCTTTTGGAAATTACTTATTAAAACATTTAAAGGGACCGTTCACTTATTTGGGTAATTTGAGGGTAAACTAAATAGCCTATTATCTTTTCTCTGGTATTAGTCTTACTTTTCAAAGACCTGAGAAAAAACCGATTTATCATTCAGAATTCCAGCGCAAAGGTATAATACCTTTGCATAGACACTATTTAATGCTATTTGTCATAATCATGGATTAAAAAAAATTCAAGTATTAAATTAAATTGTAATATTTAAAAGTTTATTGTAGATATCTTTATTTTTTCAAAATTATTTTAAAATTTTCTATTTTCAAAATATAACTTATTTTAAACATTTGACGGTTTGATATGTTTTCCCTACTTCCTCAGGAATTCATTGAAGAGTTGGAATCTCGGAAAGTCGCTTTGTATAAACGTGTTAATTTGTTAAATCATGTTTGAAGACGAAAAACGTTAATTTATTGCTAATCCAAAATCAAAAGTTTTCATATTTTATTATATAATGGCTGACACAAGATGTCATTGAAACATGAAAACTTTAGTTTTTATTGGGCTGAAAAAACGTTTAACTAGTGTCTATGCAAAGGTATGATACATTTCCACTAGAATTCTAAACGATCAATTGGCTTTTCTCGGGTCATATACATCTTTGAAAAGTAAGACTAATACCAATAAAAAGCTAATTAGTTTACCATGAAATTACCCAAATAAGTGAACGGTCCCTTTAATAACGGTCTAAGGAACCAAATTCTGATTTTGTAATGAAGGTCGTACTTATAGTTTATCCTATGTGGGTAAACTTGCTTAATCTTGTAAATAAGAAAAAAAGTGGAAAAGAATAAGCATTGTTTACATTTTAGCCAGTCATTTGTATGATAATTTTTTAAAGTTTAATTTAGGACAGTAAAAAGGTTGTAAGAAAAGAATTTTATTTAATCTTATTTCATTTTATATAGCCTAGATTTTCACTTTTAAATGTCTAAATGTAACTGATGTTAGAAAGATTCATATTTTTTATTTTTATTTTTAGTTTAGAATTCTTTTCTTGTTGAAAATTGTTCCTGTAGAGCAAAGAATACATTGCTCCTGCTTGAAGTAAACCAAATCCATTTTCAGTAAAGGCCTAAATAAATAAGTTTTTGAATTTTGTAATTTAAAATGACATTTGTAAGAGATTACAGGAGGAATTAGTTCAAAGCATGACCATAGCCAAAATATTGCAGTGATTGTGAATGTTACTTCTGAGCCAAATCAAGGTTTCGAACAAATCTCCCGTGGATTGAAAACCTGAAAGGAAAGCGAAATAAAGAAAAAGAATCTGGAGCTATTGTTTCAAAAACTAGAAACTAGAAACTAGAAACTAGAAACTGGAAACTAGAAACTAGAAACTAGAAACTAGAAACTAGAAACTAGAAAGATTGATTGCTGCAATTTTACGAGCCAAATATAAGAAGAATGAAGTTTTCAGTATGCACTGAAGATAAATTGAATAAAGCTTGATTGTTCACATATTCTAATTTAAAAAAAATATTACCAAAAAATCTTTATTCTATAAAGGGACGGTTTCCTAAAATCTGTAATATGACCTGTGAATTTATGTTGAGAAGTTCTAGATCTGAAGTGTAAGATGATAAACCGGTTTTATCGCACGTGTCTGGAGTATCGTTTATGATAGTGACGTATGATAATGGGAAAATACCGCGTTCTCCATCCAACTCTCCTAAGCACGTGACACTTAATTTTTGTATTTGTATTTTGATGTATTTTGTGTTGAATAATGTTACCTTCTAACCACTCATGATCTATGTGTCGAAGAAGATCAACCATATCGCCTGCTTCAAGGTTCAGCTCGTTATCAAACTGAGCACATTCAACAGTTTTCTTCTCAATATCATTCAATAAAAGGATTAGAAAGATAAGTTCAATTATATGACCAGATTTGAAGGTGCTAGTTCAACACTTTTGTAAGATCTGAGAAAGGTGCAAAAATTAGAATTTGATATTAAATTACAGCAAAAGAAAATGCAAATTGGGAAATGTAAAAAATAAAAATAAACGTTGTTTTCAATTCCAATGGTCAAATATACGAAAAGTATTAAAAAATTGCTCAAAATTCGCTGAAAACGATTTTTAAAGAGGTAAACAATAACTTTCAGAATTGATTTTCAAACAAATTTATGAAAAATGCTTTAAATTCGAGTTTGGAAATACAAAAAAAAATCCTTGACTTATGTAAAAATTATATCAAATTAAATATGTATTTCAGTTTTAAGTTCCTACATTGTCTGGTTAAACTGTTCAAACAAATTAAGATTTAGTCTAATCCCTTCTCTTAATTTAAACTATAAATTCTCTAGGAACTCATTTAGTCTGAAGTAAAGGAAACAAAAAGAAAAAAATACTTTTGAAATACGTATAAACCTAAATCCTATTTATTCATAGATATGTCGTCTTCGCCATACCGGAGGGTTAAAGTTGAAATTTAAAATCGCAATTTAGCTTTGGTACGAGGGAGGGAACCTCCGGATGCCATGAGCCTCTGCTATGCAGACACGAGCCTCCCAGGCAGACCGAGTCTCCCCTCGGTATGTTTACCATTTTATTAAATTAAGTTTTTACATTCTTTCATAATGAGATTTTTTAAACTATACTTTCATTTACACATTTGTCTTGTCTACTTAACCCGTGTTTGTGTGTTTGGACTTGAAATTTTCACTTTTAGAATCTCTTTTGTATATTTAAATTTTTTATTTTTAAAAATAAACCAATTCAAACAAAATAAAAACACAAATCATAGAACAATTTTTAGTGGCGACTTTCAGAGGCTGAGAGGTATGAATCTATGTATTGCCTGGGAGAGAGGCGTCCCGCGCCCCCCCCCCTTCCCTAGAAAATTGCCTTAGAGAATAGGAATGTATTTTTATAACAGATATGAAATTGTGACACATGTTTCTACATCCATTTTTTAAGGGGTTTTCAAAAGTATAATTTTTAGATTTGTAGTTTTAGTCACAAAAAGGTTATGGATCATTTTAGACTTTTTTTGACACAGACCGGACTTTTTACCGCCCTGTACCCTACCCAATGCATTAAAAAATAAATTGACAAAAAATCCTTTAAAATTTCTATTCATTAAAAGTCTCAAAATTTCACGTTGATAGTGACAAAAATGAGAGTGCTAGGACAAAAAAAAGCTAAAATAGTTAATTGGAGAAGCCTAGTTTTTATTAAACTTCTTTAAATAAATTAATAAAAGTAAACTCTACAGATTGACCCCGAGAAGTAAAACGTATTCAATGACATTTTTAAATGACGAGATCATGGAGATTTTAAGTGACCCTTCATGTCTGATGCACAACAGTAACTTTTAACCTTGGTCTAATCAAGGATAAACGATATATCTTTGTTTTTCTAGCTTAAATTTCATTCATTTCAATAATGGTTTCTCTGAAAAGGTGTCTTGTAAATATTAAATCCACTCTTATAATGAAAGATCACTTGAAGTTACGTTTTGAAGTCACGTGTCATAACCTAGTCACGTGTCATAACCTAGTCACGTGTCATACCCTAGTCACGTGTCATACCCTAGTCACGTGTCATATCCTTTTACCGTATTGAACCTTATTTTACTACGTACATAATACCCTACTGTAAATTTTGTACATAAATTATTATTATTATTATTATTATTATTATCATCATTATTAATACCTCCTCATCATCATTTTCATATCTAGATTCTTTCCAGATTTTCCTTCCTACAGACTCGGAGGTCAGGGAGGTCAAATCCTCCAGGTTAGCTGAATGTAGAATAGACGTCTGAGGAGGAGGATGAGGATGTTGCATCATAGCCTGGCGCATTCCGGCCTCAAGGTTGTTGTAACCCTGTAATCAAAGATATATCATCAACCTTGCTAAATTGATAAAACTCAGAAAAAGGAACTACATGTTTGTCACAAACTAGAATTTTTAAATTTTTTTATCTAAGGCCGAAATTAAAGAATTTAATCCGCGCCTAGGCGCGGTTCAAACATAAAACTCTAAAACTCGGACCTCGGTTCAAACATGGTTGGTTCAACTTGAATTTACAATCAGTGTTTCGAGATTTGAACCGGTGATTGGTGGTTCAGTGACGCGGTTCAAATTCATTAAATTCGGCCTCGGATACCAGTTTAATTAATAGGAGAAGTACAACCACAAGAGAACTGGCTGCACCAGTGCTACGTGGTTCATCTACTTCTCGCGATTTATTAAATCTGTGTCCGAATTTAATGATTTTGAGCCGCGTCTTAAATCCGCCAAAAACCGGCTTAAATCTGGAACCAACCATATTTGAGCTTTGGCTTAAATGTAAGCCAAGATCAAATTCTTTAAATTCGGCCTCTGGTCACTTAAAATTAAAATAAAAAATTAAAATTCTAAAAGACGAAAACTTTAAGTTTGAATTATGAAAGGTTTGCATAATCTGTATGCAATATAGATATAGGGACAAGAAAACTAAAGTTTGCGACAAGTGTTCAGTTCCTTTCTGTTCAGTTCAGTTCTGCCCATGTTTCTTGCACTACAACTGAATATGTTACGACATGTTACGACATGGTTAATTATTGATTGTATACTTTTTTGAAATATTAATAATTTACAATTATTTTCAACTAGCTGGAGGGTCCGGCGTTGCCCGTGAAAAAAGAAAAAAAAATGTGTTTAAAAAATTTGAAAAAATTTGAGTGTCTACAAAAAATTTCAGCCCAATCGGTCCAGTCGTTTGGCCGGCTATACGCAACATATATATATATAATGTCTTGTTTTATTATATAGATAAGAATTCTAATCGGAGCAAATGTTTAATTCTTACATTCGTTTACGGGCAATTCTATCAATCATATCTGGCCTGGAAGGACCTCTTCCAATTGCTGTGTTTGGTCTTTGTTTGAATATATGAACAGTCCCTTTAAATAAAGATACTGACCAGCGATGATGTGGATAAGGGTTTGGACGGTTCTGAATAGTATCTACTGCTGAAGTTGGCACTACTGCTGACAATTTTGGCACTACTGCTGACAATGTTGGCACTACTATTGAAGTTGGTACTACTACGACCAAGGCCAGTGATATCACTGTTGATACTTTCATAAGGTTTAGATTGCAGTCCAGCCAAATTGTCACAACCTGTAATATGGAATTATAAAGTTAAAAGCATAATAATAATAATAATAATAATAATAATGAAAGTTGAGTTGAGTTGAGTTGAGTTCAATTCAATTCAATTCTGTTCAGTTCAGTTCAGTTCAGTTCAGTTCAGTTCAGTTCAGTTCAGTTCAGTTCAGTTCAGTTCAG